TCTAGGGTCTGGGCATAAGCCTGAATACGGAAAAAATATCCATGCCCTCCACCAAGGAGGCTGTCGTGCACTCATTTATCAGATGTGGTCCCAACCCGTTCACGAAAATATGCACCCTATCACTCATCTCAGCCACCTATGGGTAGCATACCTTGCTAAAGAATCAAAATGCATACTATACTCTCGCACATTCATATTACCTTGTCGAAGGTTCAAGAACTTATCAGCTCTAGCTCGTCGTATCGCAACTGGCAAGTAGTGACGAAGAAAGGCCTCAGAAAATTCCTTCCACATAGTTGGAGGGGCGTTTGGACCCCTGGACCTCTCCCAACTATCATACCGGAAAATCGCTATATCCCATAACCGATAAGAAGCCAACTCTACTACCTCTGTATTAGTAGCATGCATAACCCGTAGTGTACGATGAACCTGATCAATAAAAGTTTGTGGGTCCTCCTTGGGGTCTGATCCGGTAAACACTGGAGGGTCTAGATTAATAAAATCACGAACTCTCGTACTAGCCAATTTATCAACAACACCGGTATTCTGCCTCTGAGCCTGAGCAGATACCAAGCTAGTCAACAACTGCACTGCACTCCGCATATCCTGGTCTGTGGTGCCAGACGGCGGAACTGGTGGTGCTGGGTGCCTCCTATTATCCTCTGGAAGAGACGGAGTAGATTAGGTATGAGACGGCATCTCACTCTGAGCCTCATTTTGGCCTGCTCTGGCTTGAGGCACCTGACTGGTACCCTCTCCCGCAACTGTATCAAGTCGTCTACTAATCGCTTGCTTCCTAGTCGAAGGCATCACTGAAAGAAAACAAGGTGAATATTAGAGACGAACACTTACGACTCAACTCTACGCACGATCTAGATTCAAGAAGAAGGTAACAACCCTAGATGTCATGTAGCCTCCTGATTATAAATGTGGCGCGCTACACATCCATAATTAAGACTATACTAGACACGGCTCATAGACAACCCCTAGGACAGACTTGCTCTGATACCAAGTTTGTCACGATCCAAACTGGAGGGTCATGACTAGCACCCGGTCCATACTTGCCGAGCACCAACGTACATTTTATCTAACCTTCCTTATTATCTTTAAGGTCCGACGAGATCATTATAAATGGTAGATATGGATCATGAACAACAAACAATGAAAGATAATGGAATGAACATACATAACATGGGATGACAAGACTGCCAAGAAACTACATATAAGGTACGAGCTACCACGCTCCCATGAAAGACTATACAACAAAAATCAGCCGACAAGGCATACCAAACTATACAAGAGTCGACACCTATCTATGAGCCTCTAAAAGAGCATAAGTGCTGCAACATTGCCGGAACAGGGCCCCGACATACCCATAATATCTATAACAAAAATGCATACCAAGACCACGGCAAGTCCGGAGAAGGGATCTCGCCAATAACCGCTGAACTGGAAGCCTACTGTGGTGGGGAAGCTGCGTCTACCTGTCTATCAGGACCTGCAGCACGACATACAGCGTCCACAAATATAAAGGACGTCGGTACGAATAAAGTACTGAGTATGTAAGGCAAGAAAGCATAAGTAAGAACAGTAATGTAAACAGGGATAAAGAATATACAACCTGTAACATCTGGATACCTCTGGGGGCTACTGATATGAAATACGTGATACATACATATGTATACATAAACTTTTAAAACATACGCCTCTGTGGGCAGCATCATCATCATATCGTACCCGGCCGTAATAGGCTCAGTAAAATGTACCCGGCCACGTGGAGCTCGGTAAAACCCAACTGATCAGTGGTTGCATAATAGGTGTCGTACCTGGCCGACTATAGCGCTCGGTAGAGTAAAACAGATACATATATATAATGCATGTAGGACTCATTGGAATCATATTCTGAACCTTTCGGGGTGACGTAAGGTCGATATTCTCCGTACACGTTATTAGGAATAACACTTCATCAAGAATCTTATAAGAATCAGGAAGTGCCAACAACATTGATAACATAAGAATAAGAGAAGCAACCTCAACATTAATTGTTCCATAAGAAGGGAAACAATGTAAGTACTGCTAGCTTCTAAGAGTAGAGTACCTTTGGAAACTCGTTCATTATACTATGTACAATCAAAGTCATGCAAAAGAAGGAAAGAGATAGCCTCACATACCTTGTATATGTACTGCCCAACCTCAAGCTATGCAAATGTCACGACTCCTTAGTCTACAATAAGAGAAATCACACTATAGTTATCATTTAAGCGTCGTAACTATTATGTATCGACCACAAACTATTTTATGATGAAAGGGACATCACCTCCCCTATATATATGACTTCACACAAGTCAAAACAATCACCAAACAACCCAACATACCCCTATCACTTCATGCACAACACGACAACCATAATAGTATCAAACAATCCGAAAATGTTACGACGAACGACCAGCAAACAATCTTGCTATTATGTGGTGTTTCTCCACACCCTTTCTCCTCTCAACTCCATAAAAATAGTAGCAAAAGAGACAACCCAATAGCAACACGAAACAGCCCACAAAACAGTCCCACAAGTTCAGCAACTCAAAATCAATTTTTCAGTTTACTTAAACACGTTTCGACTTGTCTTTTCTTTCAAATTGAGAAACACAACCAAAAGTACATAATTATACCTCTTATCCAATAAACAGCCATGAATTCAACTTAAAAATAAGTTCACAACCAGCCAAGCATGACGCAAGAACAAACAACATACCACTCTTTTGAAACTTGCTAGGTCTATTCTTTACGATCGAATTACAACTCGCAAACGCATAGATAATGGGAGGAGAAGCATAACCTTACCTTGTACTGAGTATAACCCACAAAACCTGGTCCTTCTTCATCAAAATCAGTTCCTCAACGCGGCTACAAGAAGGAGAAAGAGAAACTAGCAAGCTGTCCGGACTTTTCGGCACTAGAATCACGTCGTAACACCCGAAATACCCTAGGGTTTGTGTGGGATTTTTGGGGAGGAGTTGCAGGGGTTCAATTTGATTTTCAAGGTCTGAAAGATGGGTGAAATAAATGAGTTGATATGCCCTTAAAAGTCCCCTCTTGGCCGACTTTGGGGCTTTTAATTGAGTCCTCTCATTTTGGCAAGTAGGTGATGCACCTACTTGTCACCTGCCAATCTGCACAGTCTCGCGAAAATGCGAATATCTCTATACTCCAAGATTGTATTGACAAACGATTTAATGCGTTGGAAACTAGACTCATAGATCTTCAATTTGGTGGGTATATCACCCCGTAATTCCAAGTAAATTGGGACAAAATCTTAGCAACATTTGACCTAAAGTTTAAGTAAAATTATGAACATAAGTTGCGACAACTTTTGTCGACTTTTGTTTCATAACTCGTTTGACTTCAAGACTTATTATACGGATATTATATGATTTAAATACCTTAAAACACGACCTCTTGAGAATATTAGCACCCCTAGGTTTACCCAAAATTACGGGTTACAACATCCTTGATTCGTTTAACTTCTAATACTTGTTAACCACCCTTATACACCCTTGTATCATTTAAGACAAATAGGATTAACTTCTTATCATCTCAAAGATATTCTCTTCTCAGATTTACGTCGACTAACTTATGGCATGAATCAATGTACGTGAATATGGGTTGTAACAATTTTTGAATTTGTTTTTGTCGGATCCTCGCACCCGTATCCATACTAGGATTCGTATCCCCGAATCTTAGAATTTACATCTCGAAGGTTCCCACCTGTAGATTAGTACCCGTGTCAGAGACCCGCACGCGTATCCGAACAACTTAGCTCATGGTACACAATTCCACTCCTTCAAATTATTGGTACTTTGCCTTTGATACTGCCATTTACTTAATTAATATCGACTACCCACACCTACTAATAATGGAGATCACCCTTTGAAGTTGTGTTTTGTACTCCACCAGACTATCATTTTCTTAAAGTGTTTGGGTGTCTTTGTTTTCAATACCTACGTCCCTACAATCGCTACAAAATGAATTTTTGAAGTCAACCTTGTGGGTTTTTAGGGTACAGTCCTTCCCATCATGGTTATCGATGTCTTGATACAAGCACTGGCAGATTATACATTGCACGCCATGTTCGTTTCGATGAAACTCAGTTTTCCTTCGCCACCAAGTCTATTCTTGGTCCACCTCCTCCAAGCAATCTGCATCCTTGGGTTTCAACTCCTTTAACATTACCATCTTCGCCATCCTTCCGGCCTAGGAGTCCTACTCCTCACATGTCATCTGTTAAATCCCTAGGACCTATAATATCCCTTTCTTTTCCCCGAACCTCTCCTGTATTAAACTCTTCTTGCTCAGTTTCAGCTTCACCTAGACACCTTGTTGATGATCCTCGCTCATCTGCTCCTATAGACTATTATTTTCCTACTACTCCACTAGCTGTCGATTCCTCTATGCATCCTTTAGATAACCAGCCTCCCACACTACCTTCCACTACAATGCCTCGACCTACATCCAACCGTAACCCAAGAGCGGCAAAACCATCTCAACGATTACACACCATGCAGCTCTGTCCAGTGTTCAAACGAAACCCTCTTTCTCATCTTGCTTACACAACAACCACTACTACAGTCCCCTCTCCGGCTCTCCCTCCATTGAGCCTACTGGCTTTACAAAAGCCTCTAAGTTCAAAGAATGGCATGATGCTATGTCATCTGAGATGACAGGCTTGCTCAAAAACCAAACATGGTCGTTGGTTCCCTTGAATTCCTCCATGAACATTCTAGGTTGCAAATGGTTCTTTCAGATTAAAAGGAACTTTGTTGGGGCTATTGAGCGCTATAAGGCTCGCTTAGTTGCCAAGGGATTTCATTAGGTTGAGGGTCAAGATTATCATGAAACATTTAGCCTGGTCAGTAAGCCCACGACAATTCGAATTATATTATCATTGGCAGTCACCTATGGCTGGACTCTAAGGCAATTAGATGTTCAAAATGCTTTTCTACATGGTGAACTTCAAGAGATGTCTATATGGTTCAGCCGCCAGGTTTTGTTCATCCTCAATTCCCAACTCATATTTGCAAGTTTCACAAATCTTTTATGGTCTTAAGCAAGCTCCACGAGCTTGGTATAACAAGCTTCATCAATTTCTCATCTCGGTTGGTTTCACCACCTCTAAGACTGATATTTCTTTGTTTATCTACTCTCATAACAATGTGGTTGTCTACCTATTAGCCTATGTGGATGACATTGTGCTTATAGGAAACTGCTCTTCATTTATTGACTCATTTGTTCAAGCTCTGGATCGTGCATTCTACCGTAAGGGACCTTGGTCCACTACATTACTTCCTTGGAATTCAGGCGTGCCGCAATAGTGATGGTATTTGGCTCTCTAAATCTCAGTATATCCAGAGTATCCTCACGAAAGCTGGTATGATTCACTGTAAGCCTCTAAGCTCACCCACGACCACAAGTGCAAAGCTTCACAAAGGTGACAGTTCCGACTTTGATGATCCAAGTCTTTATCGTCAAGTTTTTGGTGCTCTTCCATATCTTACTTTAACAAGGCAGGACATAACTTTTGTGGTAAATAAAGTGTGCAAGTTTATGCACAATCCATCGTTAAACCAGTGGGCTGCTGTGAAGCGCAATCCTTAGATATCTCCAGCACACTAAATCCGTGCCATTTTTCATTTCAAAGGCATCTAACCTTTATTTACAAGCTCTTATAGACTCCGATCGAGCTGGTAGTATTGATGATCGCAAGTCAACAGGTGGTTATGCAATATACTTTGGCCCAAATCTGATATCCTGGTCATCCCGCAAGCAACGAAAAGTGGCACATTCTTCTATCGAGTCTGAGTACAAAGCATTAGATGATGTTGCTGCATAATTGACGTGGACCCTTGAGCTTGAAGTTCAGCTGCGAGCTCCAATTTTATGGTGTCACAATATTGGTGCTACATACCTGTCTATCAATCCTATTTTTCACTCTTGCACTAAACACGTTGAGATATATTTCCATTTTGTCCGAGATAAAGTTGCGAGACGTGACCTGCGGGTTCAATTCCTCTCTTCCAAAGATCAAGTGGCTGATATTCTCACAAAATTACTCTCTACAGCAAGATTTCAGTTTCTCCGGGACAAACTCAAGGTGAAAGACCCACCTTCAGTTTGCAAGGGGGTATTAGACCGACCTTATCTTCCAGACGTTCCCTCAGTACTATTTAATTAGATTTGGTTTAGGACTCTTCTATATCTACTCTCAGTTGTTGTATTTACTTAGAATTCATTCATTTCTTTCTTCCCCGTCGACCACGACGACTGAAACAACGCGAAAAATCCAGACCCGTAAAGGAGAAGGGCCGGTGGGGGCATTTGGGAAAGTCGGGCCGATCGGGTGTCTTCATTCAAGCGACGGTACAGAAGAAGAACGAAACGAAGTGAGAGGCCGGGGCAGTCTCAGTTGGTTTAGGACTCTTGTATTATATATTATGTATCATTGTGTGTGAAGTAATGGAGAGCTTCAGTTGTAATACTCACCAAAATTCTGTTCTAAAAGGCAAGGGCCTTTTGTTGCCTTATGATTACAAAGGTGAAGAAAGCTTTTATAGAAAAGCAAGCTGATTAGTTTTGCTTATCTTTTACATTTCTTGTATTTTTCACTGTAAATATGATAATCTGAAAATACTGGATATTGAATTTGAGATTGGGGATTTACAAAGGTAAAAGTCACTTAGAGGAGCAATACTGTTTACGTGTCTTCATTGCCGAAACCAGTGAACTTATTGTACATCTGGTCGTGTTGCCCCAATCATTGCTCTGTTTTGAGTCCATAAAATCCTTGTGTTAAGGTGGAGACATGTCCCATCACTCCCTCTTCTACTTTCATATAATAGATCCTCTTTGCCTATGTTTTCTTCTCAAGAAAGTGCTTCCCAAAAAAAAAAAACTCTCTTTAGTATGGATAACCTAATGGAGGGAACAGCAATCGTTTTTCTTAATGCTTAATGAGGAAGGGGGATAAAAAGTTAATTAGCACCGTCGTTTGCTTTAGAGATAGATCACTCACTATCTCGTACTATCATCTATATATGTTGTATTTATCGGATCCAAAACAACATCAAAACATCAAGATGCCCACAAAACCATAAAACAATAATAATGACAAATAATAACAAAAATAATATTCATAAATGTGACAGTTCTTTATGTACATCACCAACCAATTAATTGAATAAGTTCTTCCACAATTACACAAATCGAATGCAGAGATCAAATATGAAGAAATCAAGAAAACCACCCTTTCTAGTTTGCAAGATTAAAAAAAGCACAACTATGGTATACCTAGGATGATAACTAAAACTTGCAGCAAACAAAGAGGAAAAGAGAAATATAGCAGGACCCCTGATGACAGAAAACTAGAATGAAAAATCACACAACAAATAAAGTTATGATCACTGTCGGTTTTTTCTTGGTTTCACTGCTGCTGATGTCTTCTATTTGGCTGTGACTTCATTTTTTGTTTCAGATTTGGAGCTTGGAGACTTCCCTATTATTGCTTTCTTAGCCTTCACAAGAGATTGCTTCATCTTGGAAATAAGGTTGTTTGATTGCTTTGTCTTGGCTGGAACTTCTTCTTTAAAAGCTTCTTCCAAAGTTTTCCTTTCTTCACCATCCTTAGCAGCATCTGTTTTTACCTCTTGCTCCAACTTTGGTTCAACTTCTCCTTCAGTTTCTTCTTCTACTTTTGTTTCTGTCTCAGGCTTCTGAGACTCTTCAACTGATTTTTCAGTAACAGTAGCAGTGGCCTCATTCACTTTCTTCTCAACTTCAGTAGCTTCATTGGCTTCTGTGGTAACATTTATCTCATCCTCGTTGTTTCCATTCTCAGCAATTAGTTCAATGCCTCTGGAAGCAATCTCAACTTCTGGGGCTTTTTCAGTAAGTTCAGATGTTTCAACTTCCTTTGCTTCAGTTACAACACTTTCCGTCTCATCTTCTTGATTAGCTTTCACATCTTTTATATCATTCTCTTCAACCTCTCCCACCTCCTCCTTCAATGGTACTTCAGTTACAGCCTCTGTATTTTCAGGCTTAGTCTCAGCAGGTTCTTGCTCAATCTTCTCGCTAACCTCTGGTTTTTCAGCCAGTTTGTCCTCTACATTAGCAACAATTGTTTCCTTATTTTGTTCTGCTTCTGAAACTTCTTCTTCTTTTGCCACAGCTTTCTGTGGTTCATTGGCCTGTAATTCTTCTATCGTTGGTTTGTCCTGCAGCTCTTCCTCAGATTCTTTCTGTGGAATTTCAACCTTTTCAGATTCTAATTCACCTTTGACAAGATCAACTGCTTCTTCTGGAACACTATCAGCTTCAGGTTCAGGGGCGGATTCTTTGATTAATACTACAACGTCTTCTCTTGTAACATCCGAGGCCGGAGTCTCAACATGCTTGTTAACTTCTTCAGTAACAGTGGTTGCTGGTGCTTGTTGTTCAGCTTTAGGCGTCTCGGCCTGATCAGTTTTCTTTACCCCCTCTATTGTTGGCTTCTCATCCTCATCAGCTTTCGTTTTTATTTCTTCAATAACAGTTTGTGCTGGTTCTTCTGCTTTCAGTTTCTCTTCCTCATCACTCTTCTTTATCTCTGATTCACTCTCTGTATGTATCTTTTCTACTGACTCAACCACTGGAATTGGAGAGTCCTCTTTAGGTTTCACTTCATTATCCTTAGGTGGGGACACATTCTTTTCATCCATTGTCTCAACTTGCTGTAGTAAACATGAGAGCAAGAATTAAAGCAGAACGAAGAGAAGTACCAAGTACCAACCAAGAAAAGTAGCAATCTTTTAAAAAGTTGAACCAACAGACTAAAAGAGGAAAAGAAGGTAAAAAGATGAAAAAGTTCAAGCACACAAGGCTTTCACTATAAAAGTGTGGCAGCTTATTCTTTTGTGTTTTAGTAGTGTGGAACAAGATTCGTAACAAATGAAGCTATCGGAAAAGGAAAAGAGTAATTTAAAGGGATAGGCTGTTTCCTAGTGAGTCATAACTAAGAAAAGCACAATAGGAAAAGACACTCCATCCTACTCCTTATTTGAACTCCCACTTTTTCAGTATGCTCTTAGGTCAGAAGCTTAGGAGAAGGCTAAAGAGAGAGCAAATCAAGTCTACTCGTCGACTAACCTTCCACCGGTCACAGGCGGATTCAGGATTTCAAGATGATGGGTGAACTACTATCGAAGAGGTGTATCTTAAATTTATATCTAACGGGTTCAACCTTAGGTTCTTACACTTCTGAAATTTAAAATTAGTTCTTTTATAATTTCAATGATTTTTTACATATATATCTATACTCCATATTGAAAATATTAAAATGAGTTGAAACCATTCACTATATGCTACATAGATCAGTATATGGTTAACCAAATGCTACATAGATCAGTATATGCTACATAGACTACTGCTACTGATTTTAGTATAGACAATAATTGGTTTAATTATATAAGATTTATAGTAACGAAAGGTGAATAGAAATTTCAATCTGTCAAATTGGCGATTTTGAAAAAAATAAACCAACTGAAGAAAGGAAAAAAAAGAAAGAAAAAGTACTCCCTCCTCCCCCTAACTCTAGAAAAAGAAATCCCAATTATCATTACACAATGAACTTGAGCGAATGCATATAGATTTAAGTAGTTTTAAAGAAATATAGCATTTCTATACATGATCTACGGGGAGCATGGGTTAAAGTTAATCCACACTGCATCACCTAGATATGCCCCTGTCACCGGCACAAGTATCAGGTAACTCTGTTTTATAAAATTTAGGCAGATAGAAAAAGATTACATAGCATTTTGTGTGAAATCTTCTTACGGGCTTTACTCACTTTATTGCTACTAAGCCAAATCCTTGGTGCTATCTCATCAAAACTATTTAGACATATCATTTTTATTCTGTCACGGTACAGATGGCAATTTCATTTATTTTCATTGAAAAATTCAATTTTCTGCTTGAGGATGGATTAAATTCACTTGCTAGGTATGCTTAGTATAAGTTCTATCTTTACCAAGTAAGAGTTCTCATTTTTCTTTGACACATCAGCTTCTGTTAATTAACATGTCAAGGTGAAAAGTAAAAACAAGTATTCCATATGCTTAATATAACAGTCCCCTCTCTGTTCCTTTCTTTCCCTTTCTTATGACTAGTTTTTGATCCCAGTGCTAGAGGCAGGGGCAGTATTTTCGCTAAGGGGGTTTAAAAATGAAAAAAAAGGCTAAAAATTAAAATAAATTGTGGCTAGTGGGAATAGAACCAATAATCTAACAAAGATTATGAACCCCCTTCTGAGCTTTACTATTAGATTGTGTTAAGGAGATTTAAAATATAATATATAGTGGTACAATCCAAATTTTATCGCCCCTGTTCGATTCTTCCTACTACAACCAAACACATAACAAACAAAGGACTAAATAGGAAAAAAAAGATTAGCAATTTAGCATCATAAGTTTCACATAGCTCTAATCATATGTAATTATCAAATAGCATGACAAAACAGAAAAGAATATATTCATCTGGAAAATTTAGTAGAGGAGGAATTCACTGCGTACCTCAAGGGCAGTAGGATGATCTGATGACACAGTCTCAGTAGCCATGGATGAAGATGATTGATGAAGTAAGAACTCAAAGGAAGAAGCAAGAAATGATACTTGTAAGTTAAGTTAAATAAACCAGAGAATTAAAGAAAAAGGAATGAGATGGTTGGCAACAACTCAAAAAGGGTCTCAAAACAAGCTGGAGAAAGTAGAACCACACTCACAAAAATCTACCTTACAGCAACCCCATCTCACCTTTTCATACATACAGAAAATAAGAAAACAGGGTGGACGCATGTCCACTTGATGGATGGATGGATGATCTGTCAGCATTTGGTGGAATTACTAACTAATCCATCAAGATTCATTTTTAAATACTATATGGAAAGAGATTTTAACACTTGGAAAGGCCATTACGCCCATTAAATCTGAATAAGATTATGAGAATATGAAAAAGAAGTTGGGGACTGTCAATGCCACTGAGACAAAAATGATTGATGGGACCATTCCAGAGGCTTATAACGGCGTAATATCATTTTTGCAAACCGTTGTCTACTTTGTCCGGTTGTGTATAGTTTCCCTACTGAAACATAAAGAATATATTTTCTGGGCCTAAGGTCGTTTTCAGTGCCATCAGCCATGCCATCTTCCATAAAAGAAGAAAAACAATTGCATTGGCGGTGACTATGTCTAGTTGCATTGGGTTCCCATATTTTATCTTTTTATTATCTATATGAATTTCTTCTCTTATGTAGAGAATTAAAAGAGCAGAGATTCGTTAAATTAGCTGTTGTAGACCATTTGCTCAATTTTATTTAGGGTAACGGCACAATTGCCCGCAAAAATAAATCCATTTACTTTCTTACCCATCAAACCAATTACTTTTCTTACCCATAACAATTTTTGTGCAGAGAAATTCAAAATAGCCAGATTTACAAGTGGTCATTCAAAAATAGCCACAGTTAAAGTAATCGAAATTTAGCCATTTTTCATGTAAAGATAAATCTGAACGAAAACACTGTTCAAAATCCGAAAATACACCAGTATAATATAGGGATAATTACATCCCTTGTCACTTGGCCCAACAACCTACCAGAAAATGGCCCATATTTGAAGCCCTTACCCAGTGTAGCCCAGGTTGAACATAACCTAAAAATTATTTTTCACCGGTTAGTCCACCCCTTTTTTTCTTCGTTCCCATTTTTTCTTCGTTCTTCTTCTTTTTTCCATGTCATCCTTTGCACTACAAAATTTGTCTTGTTATTCTCCTTCAATTCTTTTCCGGATTCCAGTGGTTAACTAAGGATTTGAAAAATAAAAGTCACCATTACAGGTAGTTCGAAGATTCGATTCAGAAATTGAGTTTTTCGATTTGTTAGTTATTTGGATTGGGTGTTGTCCCAATTGATTGGAATTATCAAGATCAGTTCAAAACTTAAATTTCAAGTGATTTGGAGTAGATTTAGGCTATATTTGAGTTAAATTTCAGAGGATGCCCAAGGAAAAAGAAGACCACGTGAAGATCCATTGATAGGATCCATTTGTATAATAATGTATAATATTGTATAATAGTGTATAAACACCACTTATACACTATTATATACAAGGTTGATACATTATTTACAATATTTGGTGAATTTCTCGCATTTTCTTCTTCTTCTTCTTCTTCTTATACACCTATATACATAGTGTATCAAGATTATTTTCACTCTGTGATTATACATCTTTATACACTTTTATACAACTATATACATAATGTACCTCTTTGTATAAAAGTGTATAACATTGTATAAAAGTGTATAATTAGCATCTCTGACGAAATTTTTGTACGATTTTCACTTGCAATTCTTGTATAAAACTAGTCCAAATCTCCAGCAAATAACTTCAAACTTTGTATACAACCTACTTAGACTATTTCTAATAAGTTCAAACAATACCCACTCCAAATTTCTTACAAAATCATAATCAAAATTTAACAAGATTAGCATTAAAGGAGATGAGATTTTAGGTTTCTCGCGTATGTTTTTGCATTTTGTAGTTGTGATAGGTATGTATAAACCTTAAGATATACAAAATCAAAAAATAATAATAATAATTCAGAGAAGTATTGGTTATGGAAGAAGGCACGAATGAGTGTTGACTGAATGGGGAACTGATTATTGTTTTCTATTTTGTTTGCATATGATTCTGTTTTATTAATTAAATTAAATATTTATCAGTGAAAAATGAGGATAGAGCTACAATAGGGGTAGGTAGGAATAAATGAGGTTGTTATAATTAGAGGGAATGGGAAAAGAAAAGATCTTATTGATAATTGGCTACACATTTGCAAACTTGTAACTGGGCTAAAATAGTGCAAGGTTAACTTATGGAGTGCATTATTCTGTAATTTTGTCTATAATATACTGGAACTCCAGTATAATATGCTGGAGTTCCAGCATAAGTATACTGGAACTCCAGTATATTATACTGGAGTTCCAGTATAATATACCGGTCCATCATAATATGCTGGAAGTTCATACACAGGTGCTCCAATCTCTAGTATGTAACGACCCGGCCGGTCGTTTTGATTTCTAGCGCATCGTTCGGCGGTTTGAGGCCACGAGCAGCTTCACTTCAGGTATTATGACTTGTACGCGTGGTCGGAATTGGAATTTCGGAAGTTCAGAGTTGATATGGAAAGAAAATTCTCACTTCGGAAGCCTTAAGTTGGAAGAATCGACTAAGGTTGGATTTTTGAGTAAACGACCTCGGAATCGGAATTTGAATGTTCCAACAGGTTCGTATAATGATTTTGGACTTGGGCGTATGTCCGGATCGGATTTTGGATGACCCGGGAGCGTTTCGGCACCTATTGTGAAAGTTAGTAGTTTGGAAGAATTTCATAAATTTGGGTTGAAGTGCATTTCAATGTTATCGATGTCCGTTTGGGATTTCGAGTCTGAGGATAGCCCCGTATGGTGATTCTGGTATTGGGAGCGCGTCCGGAAGTGAATTTGGAGGCTCGTAGGCCATTTTGGAGTCATTTGGCTAAAGTTAGAAATTTGAAGGTTTTTGAGAAGTTAACCGAGAGTGGACATTTTGATATCGGGGTCAGATTCCGATTTCGGAAGTTGGAGTAGGCCTGTAATGTCAAATGTGACTAGTGTGCAAAATCGGTCAATCGGACGTGATTTGATAGGTTTCGGCATCGAATGAAGAAGTTTGAAGTTCAAAAGTTCATTAAGCTTGAATTGGAGTGCGATTCATGGTTTTGGCATTGTTGGATGTGATTTGAAGGCTCGACTAAGTTCGTAATGTGATTTGGGATGTGTTGGTATAATTGGTTGAGGTCCCGAGGGCCTCGGGTGGAATCCGGATGGTAAACGGATCGAGTTTGGACTTGAAAGAAGGGCTGTAGCAGTTGCCTTCTGGTGTAACCGCACTTGCGAGGTTTTAGCCGTAGGTGCGGAGCCGCAGAAGCGGCCAAGAAGGGCGCAGGTGCGATTTTGGTGGGGAGGTGCTGAGACTGTAGATGCGGTCATTTAGCCGCAGATGCGAGACCGCACCTGCGGGACCGCAGAAGCGGTCAAGTGACCGCAAGTGCGAGGGTCGCTAGGCAGTGAGGTCTCTTTAAAACGGGAATTTGGCCCATTTTCTTCTATTCTCTCTTGGATTGACGATTTTTGGAGAGCTTCAAGTGGGGGTTTTTCATCATCTATGTCAAGGTAAGTTAATCCCACCTCTTGTTAGTTAAATACATGATTTTATGATGGATTCAAGCATGAAAATTGGTAGAAATTTGGGAGTTTGAAGAAAAACCTAGAAATTGGTATTCTTGGATTTTGAACACGAATTTAGGCATGAAATTGGGAATAAATTATATATTTGAGTTCGTGAGGTTATGGGTAAATTTTATTTTCGAAAAATTTCGAAATTCTAGCGTGTAGGCCCGAGGGTGATTTTTATCGACTTTTCAATTTGGGTTAGAAATTGTTATAAATTGAATTGTTATGAGTATGTGAGCATATATTAATGGGTTTGCATAATTATTGGCTAGTTTTGGAGCATTGAGCATCGGTTTGAGTCGTCGTAAGGGCTTGGAAGCCGATTTTGGAACTTCGGAGCAAGGTGAGTCTCCTTTCTAACCTTGTAAAAGGGAATTAACCCCATAGGTGGACTAAATTGTTATGTGATTCTAATTGCGGGAGCTACGTATGCAGGACGTGACGAGAGTCCGTACGTAGTTACCAGCTATGCCTATGTCCAGGTAGTTATAAGCTTACATCATGCCTTGTTGATATTGTTGTTAAATTATATTTATTGTTTATCTTGAGAAGAAGCGAGATTGAGTTAACTTATTAAATGATTTTGAAAGGAGTGGAGATTGAGGAAAAGTTGGGAACTTAAAAGCTTTCATTTGAAATTCATAATTTAAAAGGAAACGAGGAATACCGTAATAACTTAAGAAATTTATGTGTAACCGCGTCGCACGTACGATCCGCGAGCGGGGTAATTCTTTAAACCTATATTCTACCACATTGCATGTATGATTCGCGAGCGAGGTAACTCCTTAAATTTATATTTGATCGCGTTGCACGCATGATTCGCGAGCGGGATATTTCCTTCTACTACTCTTACGGGAGCGGGCCGATCGCCTCGGCAGGTTAATAGATGCATCTATGGTTCGCGCCATTCGCCCCTCTGGCAGTGCACAGTTTACTTTTATGTTGGATCTGGGCGTACACCTCGGCATTCCCTCTCTCTCTCTCTCTCTCTATATATATATATATATATATATATATATATATATATATATATATATATATATATATATAGATAGATATATTATCCTCATGGAATCGTGCGTAATATTTGGCAAGAAGCCAGTGTATCTGAGGGATTTTCCCTGATTTGATTCATGATAACCTCCTTGATGAAATCCACTATAGCATATATATATATATATATATATATATATATATATATATATATATATGCTCCGATTACAGAGGGATCTTGCTAGCTGAGAGCTTGAGTAAAATTATAAAGAGGGGAATTGTGTCACGCACTTTATACTTGTTTATTTCATATATTTACTCTGCTTCATATTTATTCACTTCATTACTATACCTGATATTATTGGACCATTAGTAAGCGTTGAAGTCGACCCCTCGTCACTAATTCTTCGAGGTAAGACTGGATACTTACTGGGTACGCGTTGTTTTCGTACTCATACTACACTTGCTGTGCATTTTTGTTGCACAGGCACATGTACGTCTAGTGGCCTCATTGGGCGTGGCTGCATGGCTGATACGGAGACTTAGGTGAACTGCATCTCTCGAGACGACCCGCAGCCAGCAGAGTCTCTTTCAGACTCTTTCAGAGTATTGTATTTTCTTTTCTATCCAATTTGTATTCCGGACAGTTATTGTATTACATTTTACTTTCTAGAAATTGCTCATGCACTTGTGACGCCGGGTTCTGGGATATATATGGGATTATTCAGTGTTGAAAATTTGCTAAAGACATCATTAGTTACTCGGTGAAGTTCATTATTTATGGTTTAATCTAAGGAAAAGAAATGATTTTGAAATTACTAAAATGTGAATTTAATTAACTTCTTGGTGTTGGCTTACCTGACAGTGGTGTCCGGAGCCATCACGACCTTTAATGGATTTGGGTCGTGACATAGTATATTATGCTGGAACTTTTCGCGTGTTGGAGTTCCAGCATAATATGCTGGAAGTTCATACACAGGTGCACCGATCTCCAGTATATTATGCTGGAACTTTCTGTGTTGCAGCAAAATAGTGGCTATTTTTCATTGACTTTGTAAACGCTGGCTATTTTTGAATGACCGGTCTGAAACTTGCTAGCCCATGCTATTTTTTACGCTTTTGTGGGTAATTTCTTCTTTTTTCTCCTTTTCTTTTTTATTTATGTGCTTCTTTTCTTTCTTTTCTCCTTTTTTTTTTCGTTTTCTTCTTATTTTTCTCTTTTTACTCTTTTTTTGGTTCATTTATTTTTTGCCCAGATCACATTATTATTATTATTATTATTATTATTATTATTATTATTATTATTATTATTATTATTATTATTATTATTTAGATTCACACTCAAATTTGGCTCCTTCTTTATTTTTTTTTATTTTGTTTATTTCATGTCCCTTTCTAATTTTATTTAACTCCTTTTTTTCTTTTTTTTCTTTTTTATTCATAATCTAATTTCCTAATTTTTATTGCTCTTTTTTTTATTTTTTCTTTATTTATACAATAATAAAAAATAACTGATATAGTTAATATTTGTTCATATTTTTTAATATAATTGGTATAGTACATATGTTCTTTGGTTAATTCAATTATTAGAACAACTTACATATTATAACCATTTTCTCTTCTCTTTTTTGTTTTGTTTTCTTTTTTTAATTTTATTTCAAATCATTTTTATGTCCTTTTTTCTTCATAATCTAATTATGCATACATTTTGGCTCCTTTATTTTTGTTCTTTTTTACTTATTTGTATATTTTATATTAATTATTAAAAAATAACTTACTTTAGCGTATAGTATATCAAAAATAGTATATTAGTAGCAGTTGAAGTATATTATTGCAGTAAAGTATGATACCCATATGCTATATATTATATACTTATAGGGTATATGATATCGAGAACTTAGTTAGAAAATTGAAAAAGGACCCATTAAATATTTTTAAAAAATTAAGAAAATACCTGATTTAACTCTATTGCTACATTATATCATATATTATAATAGTATTCTGTGCAATTAATTATATATTATTGAATTAAATATTATATACTAAAATGGTATATAATATGTTATTTTGGTAGTACAAATTAGTCTTCTTCGCTAGTTCAACTTAATTTCAACCTAAATTTTAAAACTTTACTCCATAATTTCTATCAAATTGACTCAAACTTTAGCCACAAACCTCCAATCAAATATTTCAAACTAAATATTTTTGTTTAAGAAAAAATAACAAAATATGAAAACTCTGTTGAAAAATAATTCTAAAAGGACCAATTTGTAATAGTATACTGTTACATTATAGTATACTGTAACACTACATCGTTGGAATGAGCTATATATCAAAATGGTATATGGTATATTATTTTGGTATACAGTACAAATTCTTCTTCGCCAGTTCAACGCAATAAATTATACACGATTGAATTAAATATTATATACCAAAATAATATATAATATAGTATTTTGGTATATAGAGGATTGGTTCATTCATTCAAAAAAAATTCGTAGTAAAATGTTGTAATTAATTATATACTCTTGAATAAATTATTGTATACCAATACAGTATACAATATAATGTTTTGGCATATAGAACAAATCTATCTTCTTTACTAGTTCAACTCAATTTCAACATAAATTTCAAAATATCTACGCCCGAATTTACATTAAATTGACTCAAACTTTAGCCACGAACCTCCTATCAAATATTTCAAACTAAATATTCTGGTTTAAGAAAAAAAATGAAAAAAATATGAAAACTCCATTGAAAAATTGAAAAAGAACTCAATAAAAATTTCAAAAAATTCTAAAAGGACATAAATGTAATAGTATACTGTTACATTATATAGTATACTATAATAGTATATCATTGAAATAAATTGTATACCAAAATTGTATATAGTATATCATTTTGGTATACAGTACAAATTCTTCTTCATCAGTTCAACGCAATTAATTATACACTATTGAATTAAATATTATATGACAAAATGGTATATAGTATATTATTTTTGTATTCAGAGGATGATTCATTCCTTAAAAAAAATTAGTAGTATACTATTGTTGTTAATTATATACTCTTGAATTAATTATGGTATACCAGTACAGTTACAATAAACCATTTTGCTATACTGTACAAATCTGTCTTCTTTGCTAGTTCAGCTCAATTTCAACCCAAAATTTAAAAATCTACTCTAAAATCTCCACCAAATTGACTCAGAATATAGCCACATCCTCCAATTAGTATTTCAGACATACCCGGTCAGAATCAGATCAAAATAACCAAAAACTCAAAAAACCCAATTTATGTGTTTCAAGCTACAAGGTCCTCCAATGCAGATTAATTTTTTTTTTTTTTGATAAAACTAACATTTTATTTCATCAAAAAGAAACTGTCTTTACATATCCAGATTAATGTTGATCATTAATCTCCTATTCACTATTACAAAGTTTAACACTATGACTACACTAACTTCAATCAACTATAAACTATACTAAGGAAAATTGTTTAAACTCTCCAATTCTTTTTGCCATTTGGTCTTTTTCCTCCCTTGTATGTGCATATGTATAGCAATTTCCTTGCATAGATCATCCATGTTATATCCGCCTTTGTTGAATCTAATCGAGTTCCTTTCGCGCCAAATACAGTAGACAACCATCGCGAAAACCGCTGTAGTCATCACTGCTTTGCAATTTTTCCTTTTTGCCAAACTGCTCATCCAGCTCAGCTCATTCTGCCAGCTTCCTATCTCCCTTGCAATGCCCTGCCATTTTAATACTCTGTCCCATAGCTTGTTAGTTTTTGGATAGCCAAAGTATAGATGATCAAAAGTTTCCATATTGTTTGCACAGAACACACATTCTAATGGAACTTGAATTCCAAACTTAATGAGTGTATCCACAGTTGCTATCCTTTGATGAATAGCCAACCATAGATGAAATTTGAATCTAGGATGAATATGTGTGTGTAAATGAATGCTTTTCCAAACAACTTTTGGAAATTGAGGCTCCATCTGAACATAAGCTTTTTGTATTTGGAACTTGCCTTGCTTCACTAAGCTCTCCAGTATAGATATAAGACTGTTATGAACTGGCCTCATCTGCTTCACATCTTCCCTAGCCTCTATGATTTTCCTGACCACCCATGCTGCTGTTTTGGGTGTGTTCATTTCGGCAATATCTCTGTTCTTTATATAGTAACCGTGTGCCTATTTGATCCACGGTGTGTCTTTCTTCATTGCCAATGCCCAGAGATGTTTCAGTAATGCTGCTTTATTCCATATCTTCATATTTATGACATTCAAACCTCCAGTAGCTCTAGGTTGACATATCTTCTCCCATGCAATCAAAACTTTCCTTGAGCAATCAGTTGAACCAGTCCACAGAAAGGTCCTACATATGGTCTCTATAATCGTCATGATCTTCTTTGGCAATAAAAATATTTGAGACCAGTATGTTTGTATTCCAAACAACGCAGATTTGATGAGCTGAATTCTTCCAGAATATGAGAGCATCCTAGCTGACCAACATCTTACTATTTCAGTAATCTTTTCCACTAGAGGTAGACATTGGTGGATGTTCATCTTCCTTGCAGACAATGGAACCCCCAGATACTTAAAGGGTATAGAGCCCTCTGTATATCCAGTAAGCTCAATCAATTGCTCCTTTATATGCTGTGCCATACCAGCAATATAAATTAATCTTCTTTGGTAGATTAATTTTTCTCACAATTAAATCTCCAAAAATCATCATTAACACCACAATCTACACATCATAAAATAATACCCACTAAAACCGAATTATGTGCTCAGCTAATTCAAATACTAAATAAATTAGCAGCTAATCAATACTGAATTTAAAACCGAAACCGAAAGAAAGAGGGAGAGAAATAAAGAAATTTTTTAGCTATTTTCTGAACCAACAAACTTGCAAAAAAATTAGAATTTAAAGAAATTTACTTTATTTTTGATTGATTAACCAAAGAATAACTAGGAAAGTTTGTCAGTTTGGCCTTAGGAGTCTTTTGTGACTGAAGGACTAGAGTTATGGTGGAAGACCGGGTAATAAGTTTGAGCGGGGTGGTATATTTTGTAATTATTTTAAAAAAGAATAAAAATGGTAATAAATTTATGTTTCATGGGCATTTAGCGTAGATTGCTCTTTGAAGTATTGTGATCATAACTTCTATATACTTAAGGTTAGAAAAGCATACATAAAAATTAATTTTCCTCTTTAGGCATAATCATATGTGTGCATAGTAATATATTTTTGAAATAATCAAATTCTTACTTTTAGAGTAACATTTTATACAAGAATTTGCGTAGGGTGTCCCCGCATGTGTTTGTTATTTAATATTTCTTTGGGTTTAGAGTATCCTGCAAAACTAGGTTCCTTTTATATTATTTTATATTTACATAGTAATTAACCATTTTATCCATTCACTCACCCATTTCTCCTCCAACTACTGAATTTGCTGCAACAAATTTATCATCTAAGGTAGAAACGCGTATATCTAAAAAAATTAGATGGTTGCGTATATCTTAAAACAAAAAACTTAATATTGTTAATTGTGAACTCTAGTTTCCCGAAAAGGGAGGAGAATTTGGTCACTTTCCAAAGTATGCTTGCTAAGACTCAGATAGATTATCTTCTCCTCAAAAGGGGTGATAAAGGGTTGTGCAGAGATTGCAAGGTTATCTCGAGTGAGACCCTTGCGACACATCATAGGCTCCTGGTGTTGAATGTCGGTATCATGTTAAAGAGGAAGAACATGGTTGTACGGGGTCGACCGAGGATCAAGTAGGGAGCCTTGACTAAGGATAAAGCTCAGAAGTTGGAGGGGAGGTTGATAGATATGCTGTCCTGGTATCACGACCCAAATTTCTCTTCGTAAGATGTCGAGACGACACCTAGTCTCTAAGACCAGGTAAACATAACAATTGCAGAATAACTAAAATAATAACAGCAAATAACAGCTAAACCTTAACAACAACAGGTATATATATAGATAAAGCTGGAAAAATACTGCCGGCATATACAAGTAAACCAACAACTCGAGTTTAGACAACTCCCCAAAGACCCGATAGTTACAAGTCACAAGCTCTAGGAAATTTTTCTAACAGTCTCTATACATCAGTATCTAGGAAAAATAAAGGAGAAGCAACATAAAAAGATAGAGGGGGGCTCCGAGGTCAGCAGACTCTGGCAGATATACCTTGAAGTCTCCGTAGCAGCAACACGACTCTCTACTAATAGCGGGGCTGGTAAAAGGTACCTGGGTCTGCACACAAAACATGTGCAGAAGAGTAGCATGAGTACACCATAACAATACCCAGTAAGTGCCATGCCTAACCTCAGTAGAGTAGTGACGAGGTTAGGTCAGGGCCCTACTAGAGTATAATAAGTAAGGCAGAAGAGATAGTAATATAATGAAAGACTGAGAATTTAACAACGAGAAATACAGAAAGAGGAAATCACACAACAAATAGGAGTAAACAATAGGGGCACTACCGAGGTACCGCCTCGTAGTCCCAAAAGTAAATGCTGAACAGGGGATCTCCCGAGGTACCGCCTCGTAGTCCCAAAAGTAAATATGCAACGGAGATCTCTCGAGTTACTGCCTCGTAGTCCCAAAAGTAAATATAGAACAAGGGATCTCCCAAGGTACCGCCTCATAGTCCCGAAAGTAAATGTGTAACAGGAGATCTCCCGAGGTACCGCCTCATAGTCCCAAAGTAAATATGCAATAGGGGATCTCCCGAGGTACCGCCTCGTAGTCCCGAAAGTAAACATACAGCTCGAAACCGATGGAACAATGAATTCATAGCAAGAAATCCTACAGTTAAAGACTAAATATAAAATCAAGGAAAACAGAAATTCAACTAAGCATGCTGCACAGATTTCAAATAAGCATTTAAGACACGTAGACATGTGATATTAGGCTAAACATGATAACTACACATGCTGAGATAACTCATTTATGATATAACAGGTTACTGCTCAGTGAAAACCGGATTTCAACAATTAGCCTGTGTACGCACTCGTCACCTCGCATACACGGCACTCACATATCACAGAATTGTCACAACAGTACCAAATCCTAAGGGGATTTCCCTCACACAACGTTAGGCAAGCCACTTACCTCGAACCAAGCTCAATTATTCAGTAAAATTTCCTACTCCGAATGGCCCAAATCTAGTCAAAAGCAATTTCATACCATAAATATAACTATAAAAAAACAATCTAATTAATGAAATCAAGACTTTAGCAAGAAATTAGAAATTCGCCCCAAAAAGTCGACCCGGGCCCACATCTCGGAATCGGGTAAAAGTCACAAAATATGAACAACCATCAACTACGAGTTTTCCCATACCAAAGCTACTCAAATCTGATACCAAAACCTCAATCAATACCCCGAAATTCGGTTTAAGAGCTTTTCAACTTTTTCCACAAATTTCTCAACCCAAATCCTTAGTTAAATGATGAAATTATCGATGGATTAGTGCCAAGAACAAGTCAAGAATCATTACCAAAATGTTTTCTCTGAAAACCCATCAACTTTTCGCCTTAAA